GACTATTTTTAGAGGCATGAAAATTTTTTTAAGACCATCTTACCCTGTCTTGGCAAGATTTGACAGTCTTTTTTTTTTTTTTTTTTTGTGTGTGTGTTCTGTTTATCCATTTAAGATACCATATACTTTCTCAGTGGTTGAGGTATGGGCAGTTTCTTGCCCAAAAGTCAATTTTGCCAAGAAGAAAACACAGTCCAAGTGGAGTGTCTTTGGTGCTCAACATTCTCTCGGGAATAGATTGGTGCTGTCAGGACCAGTCATGTCTCATGTCAATAGAACCCTAAGTTATTTAAATGCCATGTTTCAAAGATCCTTGAAGTGGTTGAAGATTAGCTATCTAGACAGAATACAATCTCTATGTTTCTAAAGGTCCTACCTTATCTGACTATATGTACAACAAACATGAACAACTATTGACCTATAATAATTAATACCTGTATAATTTAAAGACTAAAACTTCGTGTCAGAATATTAAATAATGTGTAAACAAATGTGCAACAAATGAGGACAATGACTTCAAAATGTAAATAATCTATAAGTATCTTGATCAGAGGTAGGAGTAATATATAGTGCAATATGAAAATATATCCTAAAAGTTGTATCAGTATACAAAATGTCCTAAACAGAGATAAGAACATGCATATATACAATCTGACAGAATAACTTTGCATAGGTGTACAAACAATGTAAACAAAATAACAAATATAATTTGAACTTGTATCAATATACAAAAACTATACCAATGTAAATTATTCATGAATAATAGCTCACAAGTATTTATTTTATTACCACTATTACTATCTCCTCTTTTTTTTGAACAAACATAGATTTCACCCCAACCCTCTATTTAATATAAGTAATAATCAGCAACTCCTAAACAGTGTTCCTAGCCCTATGGACCAACTGTTTTGGGAGGTGGGGGGGCATCATCCTCTAAAATTGCTTTCCACTGACATGGAGTGGAAAAGCAATGTGACATGAACATCACATGGGAGTGATGTTCTATCTATGGGATCCTGCAAAAGTAAAGTGATTGTTAAGTTTCAAGATTACTGTCTAGCATAGTTGTAAACGATTTCCGAGCAGTCAATAGGGTTTTTTACCAACGTTCTTATTTGGAGTTCTGGCCAGAATGTCACGAGAAGGTGCACCGTCTTATAGTAGTGTTATCAGTATCATGATGTCATCTCAACCAGGTGAAATTGTTGCTGTGGGGGAGGACCATTGGAATTGAATCAAAGACCTGGATCTCAATCTATACACCTACGAACATCTGATTTTTGACAAAGAATCTAAAAATATCAAATGGACAAAGAAGCTATATTCAACAAATGATACTGGCATAACTGAATATCAGCATGTAGAAGAACACAAATAGATCCATGTCTATCACCATGCAGAAAACTCAAGTCCAGATGGATCAAAGTCTTCAACAGAAAACTAACCACACTGAACCTCATAGAAGAGAAAGTGGGAAGTACACATGAATGCATTGGCACAGGAGACCATTTCCTAAAGATAACCCTAGTAGCACAGACTCTGAGAGAAACAATTAAATGGGACCTTCTGAAACTGAGACGTTTCTGTAAAGCAAATGACATGGTCAACAAGATAAAATGGCAGCATACAGAGTGGGAAAAGATCTTCACCAACCCCACATTGGACAGAGTACTAATCTCCAAAATACAAAAAGAACTCAAGAAACTTGACATCAAAAGAACAAGTAATCAAATAATAAATGGAGTACGTACCTAAACGAAGAATTCTTAACAGATGAATCTCAAATGACTAAATGACACTGAAGGAAATGCTCAACATCCTTAGCCATCAGAGAAATGCAAATCAAAATAACCCTGAGATTCCATCTTACTCTTGTAAGAGTGGTCAAGATCAGAAACACTGATGACAGCTTATGCCGGAGAGGATGTGATGAAAGGGGAACACTCCTCCATTGCTGGTGGGAGTGCAAACTTGTCGAGCAGCTTTGGAAATCAGTATGGAGATTTCTGAGAAAATTAGGAAACAACGTTCCTCAAGACCCATCAATACCACTTTTGGGTATATACGCAAAGGATGCTCAATCATACACAAGGGCATGTACTCAACTATGTTCATAGCAGCATTATTTGTCATAGCCAGAAACTGGAAACAACCTAGATTCCCCTCAACTGAAGAATGGATAAGGAAAATGTGGTACATTTACATAATGGGGTACTACTCAGTGGTAAAAATTAATGATATCTTGAAATTTTCAGGCAAGTGGATGGATCTAGAAAAAGCATATCAAATGAGGTAACCCAGATCCAGAAAGACAAATATAATACGTACTCACTCATAAGTGGTTTTTAGACATAAACCAAAGAAAAACCAGCCTACAATTTACAATCCCATAGAACCCAGACAACAAAGAGGACCCTAAGAGAGACATACATGAATCTAAGCAGGAAGTAGAAAAAGATAAGATCTCCCTGGGAATCTGGGGGTCACGGGAGAGGATAGAAGGGGCAGAGGGAGGAAAAGAGAGAAGTGGAGAAAAATATATAGCACAATAAAATAAAAAAATGCAACACACACAAAGAAATTAGAGAAAGGCATTTTAGTGTTCATCAAGGATTTGAGTTGGAGAGGTGAAGTTGACTGCAAAGAGGGAGACTGTGTTAGAATGATAGACAAGTTCTACATCTAGATTGTGGGTACCCAACACAAATACTGTTTGTATTTGTCAAAATTTGTAGAACTCCATCCCAGAAAAGGATGGAGTTGAACTATATATAAACAATATTTTAGTGAGGCTGACGAAGAGAACAAGGGAAGAAATACATGGTGAAGTTTTCCTTTTTCTTTTTTTTTATTAAAAATTTCCACCTCCTCCCCTCCTCCCATTTCCCTCCCACTCCCCCCATCTCCCCTCCCTCTCCCTCTCCAGTCCTAAGAGAAGTCAGGGTGCCCTGCCCTGTGGGAAGTCCAAGGCCCTCCCCCCTCCATCCAGGCCTAGGAAAATGTGCATCCAAACAGACTAGGCTCCCAAAAAGCCAGTACATGCAGTAGAATCAAAACCCAGTGCCATTATCATTGGCTTCTCAGTCAGCCCTCATTGTCAGCCACATTCAGAGAGTCCAGTTTGATCACATGCTCGTTCAGTCCCAGTTCAGCTGGCCTTGGTGAGCTTCCATTAGATCAGTCCCACCGTCTCCATGGGTGGATGCACCCCTCGCAGTCCTGACTTCCTTGCTCATGTTCTCCCTCCTTCTGCTCTTCATCTGGACCTTGGGAGCTCAGTCCAGTGCTCCAGTGTGGGTCTCTGTCTCTATCTCCATCCATCGCCGGATGAAGGTTCTATGGTAATATGCAAGGTATTCATCAGTGAAGTTTTTCTTTTTCATTTAATTTTTCATTTTTCATTTACATGTGTAAGTAAATTGGAAGGTTGCCCTTTGAGAGCCAGGAGCAGGAAAAAGTAGTCCAGGAGGAAAATGAAAGCAAAATTCAATGATACATGATATGAAGATGTCATAAATGAAACCTGTTATTTGGTATGCTAACTGGAAAGATACAGAGATAGCTATAGATGAATGGATGGATGCATATCAAGATGAGTCTGTATCTTGCTGAGGATCCAGAGAACCTCAGGAGGTATAGTCATTTCCTCTTCTTTTTCTTTTCTTTTTTCTTAAAGATTTATTTATTTATGCACATTGGTGTTTTGCCTGAGTATATGTCTGTATGAGGGTGTTGAATCCTCTAGGACTGAAATTACAGACAGCTGTGAGCTGCCATATGGGTGTTGGGAATTGAACCCAGGTATTCTGGAAGAGCAGGCTTTGCCCTTAACCACTGAGCCATCTCTCCAGCCCGTGTTCTTTTTTTTTTTTTTAATATGCTTGCCATGACACATAGATAAGAATGAACTAAAGTAGTCTTTGTAATCTTTTCACAAAAATTTGTTTTAAAAAGCAGATGTGATTTGGGCTTTTAAGTTTCTCATGACCAGGTCTGTTTTGTGTGTATCATAATCTTCAGCAACAGCTACTTATTAGGTGGTATCTGCTAGCTAACACTGTTAGCTCAGAGCCCTTTGGGAGAGGTTAATAGATGCTGCCTCATGTAGTTGCTGAGAATCAGAAGAGGGCATGTTTCTTTAAGTTCCGGCATGTGCTGAGTCAATGCAGATGGTTTTTTAATTATTAATTAAGGAAAAACTGTAAATATAACTTTTCAATAACAAGTTGAAATTCAGTTTCAGAAAACAGACTATAAGCATGCCACTGACGACGTCTACAGGAATAATCTCTTGACTTACAGTTGGGTTTGCCTCAGTGCCTTCTTTTTGTCTAATGGGGAGACTTTGGTGTATAGGAAGGATTCCTTGTGTAAAGCACTGATGACTATTAGCTATGTAATGTAACAAACCAGGGAGTGGGAGATGAGGCCAACAAAGGACTCTGAAGGAGTGGATTGGTTCATGGTGTGCATGTGTTTACATGCACTTTGTACATTCAATTCCAATTTATCTTCATTTGCCATACACTCTTGTGCCTGTAAAGGCAGCCTTGAACCTCCTGAATACAGTTATGAAGTGATACCAGTGATAATAGTTTTAGCCATGATTGTAATGTGCTTTTTATACATGCACACAATTAAGAAACTTTCCATTTGACTCTTAGATTCTTGTGTCATTCATAGATACTCTATGTTGAGATCAACAAATATTTGTGTGCCTTTGTTTGAAAACTTTTCAGAATATTAGGAATGTATAACATGAGTTCTACTAGCAATATGACTTTTGCCAGTTGACTTAATTATTTTCTTTCTTGCAAAAGCTGTAAATATGATCAGTTTTGATGTTGTCCTTGTGTTGCTGGAAGACTCTTAATAGTTTCAGAATCATTGATCGGCTCTGGCGTTCTCTGCTCATCTCAGACAGTGTTTGTTCACAGCCTCCTTGTCATTATTTAGTGAAAGTGAAGACAGTGCTCTGATAAATTTGTATGTTTCCCCAGGGAGAGTCACACCAGGGCAGCTCATGTCCTATATTCAACTCTTCAAGAACAACCTCAAAGCTCTTACAAATCATTGTGGGCTCCTACAGCTTGGGATGGCCACAGTTCAAACTCTGAAGCACCCACAGACTTCCAAGTGGGATAACTTTCTGGCATTTGAAAGGCTTCTTCTACAGGTATGTTCCTATGTGAACTTATTAATATGTTACTGATTGAAGTTTTGACTTTCAGGAAAACACTTAGACATCTGTTATTATCTGAGTAATCATATTGATGACATGTGCAGTTTTGATTTGAATGAGAATGTTCCACCGAGGGTCAGGTGTTAGAATACTTGGTCCCTGGTTAGAGGTGTTGCTTGGATAGGTTTAGGAGATGTGTCTGGACAGAAGGTGTGCACCACTGTGGACAGACTTTGAGGACTGAAAGCCACATGCAATTCCCAGTTTGCTTTCTCTACTTCATGCTTGTAGGTTAAGGTGTGAACTTTCAACTTGCTGCTCCAGCCACCATGGCTGTCTGCCGCCACACTTCCCTATTGCAGTGGTGATGGATGCTTATCATTTAAGCCCAAATAAAGCCTACCTTATATAAGTTGCGTTGGTCATAGAGTTTTATCATGGCAATAGGAAAATAACTGATGCATGTGCCCTGCACCCAATCCTCGACGTGCCATCCACTTAACACTCAACCAAAAGCTTCCACATTATTATAAAAATTAGCATTGTTATCGCTGACTTCTTGATCACAGGAAAATTCTGACCATTTTGCTACCTTCTGGAAACCTTTTTCAGTTTTATGCACTTTGGATCTTTATACATCTTCATACTCTTTATTAATTCTCACTACTTTTCCTGTGAGAACCTCCAGCTACTTAGATTTCCTTTGTCACTCCCTAGTCTGTAATCTTTAAACATTATAGACCACATGCCTTAAAATAATGCTTGGTGCATATGAAGGGAGGGAAAATTCTATTTGTAGTGTTTAGCAAGATATCTGTTTGTAGGAGAAGAAGTTTCCATGATTTATGGAATATCTTCATAGGAAACTTCTAAAAATGTGTAATTTTATTATGTCGGGTATAAATTTAGGGCATTTACACATTATATATATATATATTTTAAAGTATAGTAGTATAAAAGATAAACTTAACATAATATGGCTTACATCTATGAACTTCCCATTCAGATACAATATAATTTACCATTTTCCTCATAATTACCCTTTTAATTAAAAAAAAGTAAAAAAATAAATGAAGCATCTTTTATTTAGATTTTTCCCTAATCTGGTTCTTTTTTTCCCTCTAAAATAGTCCTAGCTCTGTTTCTTGCCTTTTTATTTTCTTTAAATATTTATTTTTCTGTATAAATAGTAGAGTACAGTTATTATAGGCTTTAATTTTGCATAAGTTGCATTATATTGTAAATATCCTTTAACAATAGATTTTGTCTCTGAACTTCTTATTTTCAAGACACCCTGAAGTGATGTGTATATTATGCTCATTTATACCATACCATGAGTATACAAGTGATATGTGTAGCCACAGTGCTGCTCAGTAGGGCTTAAGAGTGTGTGTAAGAGCAGGTGGGTGAGTACCTTGTCCATGTCTTCATAAACCCTTGGGGAAGAGTTCCTCCAGGACATCCACTTTGGAGAAGATTGTGAGGCTATGGACTGTTCACATTATTGATGTCACTAAGTATCATCACATTGCAGTAGATGGTGTTTATGCAAAAGATGCCTGTTTGCTTCTCACTGTGGTGGCCAGCATTTTAGCATTATCCAGTATAGCAGTATAGTAATAGACTGCTATTATCCTGATAGCCATCGTTCACTACCTTCTGTATAAATTTACAGTTGTAGGCAATAAGCCTGAGCAGCTTATATTTATTGGCTATTCATTTTTCTTCTTATTTGAATTACTGTTTTTTTTAAACCTTTTTGCCCACTTTATATATATTGAGTAACAAAGAATTTTTTTTCTTTTTTTGATTTTTGAGACAGGGTTTCTCTGTGTAGCCTTGGAACTCCCTCTGTAGACCAGGCTGGACTCAAACTTGCAGAGATCCACCTGCCTCTGTCTCCTGAGTACTGGGATTAAAGGCGTGTGCCACCACTGCCCTGTGGTAGATGTTAGGCTTTAAAAGTTATATAGTATAAATATTTCACCCAGTTCATGGCTTGTCTACTGATGTTAATTCCTGTTTACATAGTCTAGTTAATAAATATTATCCTATTTGGGTTGTGTGTATTTTTAATCCCTTTCTATCCTCAATTTCTAAACATTTTTTTCCACTAAAAATTAACTTTTAACATTTGAATTTTGAATCCATCTAGAATTTGTTTTACACATGGTCTGGTTAGATCTAATTTTCTCTGTGTGTGTGTGTGTGTGTGTGTGTGTGTGTGTGTGTGTGCGTGCGTGCGTGCGTGTATATATATACACACATACATAACAGTGTCAGACTTTTTCTTTTGGGCCACCAACCAGGTCCCAAATCATGACACAGAGACTTAATATTAGTTATGAATGCTCAGTCTAGCTTAGGCTCTTTTCTGGCTAGCTCTTTTAACTTAAATTAACCTGTTTCTCTTTACCTTTTGCCTTGGGGCTTTTTACCTTTATTTCTGCATGTCCCATTCTGTGTCTCCTGGCCTGGACTATTCCCTCTCTTTCTTCCTGGTTCTCTCTTCCTCCTTCTCTCTTGGGCTTAGATTTCTCCTCCTATTTATTCTCTCTGTGTGCCATCCTCTCCTGTCCTTTCTCTTAGACCAATCAGGTGCCTTAAGCAGGCAAGGTGAAACAGATGCAGCACATCCTTACATCGTTAAACAAATGTAACACACCTTTTCACCATTAAATATTTCACAGCATAAATATATGCAACGCATCTTTGCCTAGTTAAAATATTTCACTACACATAACACACATGTGTGTATAAGAAACATACATACACACATACATATGTTTGTGTTTAACTTTACTAACACAGATTCTATCTTTAATGTCATTTTTTCCTTTTATATTGGGGGAATGTATTTTCTCACATGATTGAAACAAATTCTGATTCATCTTGGACTTTTCTATAAAAGATATAGAAAAGGTTTTCATGGATAGTTTAAAGATTGTAAAAGTGGTTTTTTTTCAGTTTTTATTTGCGGCTAGCTGAGAAGAATTGTTCAGCTTTGAATACTGATCTTAATATCAGTGACATAGTTGCCTTATCTTACTTTTTTTATTATTGTTTTCTTGGGTCTCCAAGCATAAGCAACAACGAATGTGTGGTTGGAACAGTTGTTTTTTTTTTTTTCTTTTTCTGATCCCATTTCCATTTGTGCTGCTGCCAGCTCTCAGGACTGCCCTCTCTTCACCTCGTTCTCTTTCTAGTCTCTCAGGTCTAGAAACCCCTGGTGACACCTTCCCACTAAGTGCTTGCCTTTCATTGATGGAGCTCAGACAGAGTTCTGGTCCTGTTTTTAACTGGTACATGGTTCACTCCTCCCACTCCAACTCTAGCTCCCATCACAAGCTCCACTGCTCTTCCAAGATGAAACTTCTGATACTCCATGCTAGACCTCTGCCATGGCCATTTCCATGTCCTCATCTACTCAGGATCTGATGCTCTGTTCAGGGATGTTGTGGCTCCCAACCTCTGGTCAGATTGCTTTTGATCATAGTAACCCCTCAGTGTCTGCAGCTGGCTCCCTTTCTTCCTCAGACCCTCCCTCCACTCCTCTTCACTATTATGTTTATGCACATCAGCACTTCTTCACCTTGCTCTGGTTCCAATGCCCAGCACTGGGATGTTCCTGTTTCTGTCGTCCGCATGGATGTCCCTTCATCCCCATGGTAGGCCTAACACTTGTGCTTAGATGACCTCCTTAACATGTTGTGGCTCCAACAGCCTGTACTGAGCTAGTGTTGCCTCTCCTGGGGCTCATCATCTTCACCCGGTAACTAACTCTACGTCACTGGGGCAGCCTGTTTTGTGATCCGTGCTATGCCATGGGCGCAGGACTCTGCTCCTACATACCAGTCATGTCTGCTGAGATTAGCCTAGGCTTCAGAATGAATCGAAATATCTCAAAGCAAGATTTGATAGAGATTTTATCCTCAGGATAATAATAATCAGTCAACGTACTACAGGTTCCCGAGGAAACTTGAAAGTATCAGTTCTGTGTCTTCTCATTCGTAATGAACTATTTGAGTCCTTCATTGCATATTAAACTATTAGATGGCTGGTGACATCAGTGTGCTCCTTCAATAATTGGAAAATGAACAAAAAGACAAAAGAATAAAACACTGAACTTGTCAAAGTTCTGCTACGTTTCTAGTTGCATATCACTCTTGCTGGTGCTGTGTGCTCAAGGTTTAGCCTAGGCAGACCTGTAAATGAGCCAACATAATTGCTTTTTTTTTTTAAAAAATGAACATTCTTATTTTATATAGCTCACACTCATCCATTAGTGTAACAAGTCATAATATATGCTCAGTGTCCTTTTACAGACTTTGGATAGAAAGTAGAGCATTTGAGTTTATTTTCAGCAATGGGGAAACATTTTTCTTTTCCTAAAAGTTTAAGAAGTCTCAGTCAGGGCTGAGAGTTGCTTACTTCGTTGGAGACTCATTTCCACCACTGCCCATCAGCTTCCGTCACTGCAACCTTCAGTGTTGACTTAATGGCCTAAGTCACAGAATAGACAGCCCTGGGGAAGAGAAGGATTCCCATCTTGGAAAAGTGGCACTTGGCACACACTTTCCCACTGATTGGTTTCACAGCTGCTGTGAACACCTCCCTCAGGCTCTGGAATACAAATCGACTGAATCGGGCTTTTAATTAAGAAAGACAATTATATGTATTCAAAAACAAACTCTCTGGGGGATGATCTCATATTTACCAGCAGTAATTATATTTCAAAAAATTGGAGCTAAAAGGTCTTCATAACTCTTTCTTTCCTTCTTATCCCCATGGTCCACAGCAGTGTTTTGTATATTAAGCTTATGTATAGTAATTACCAAATAATTGTGTTTACACACAGAACAGGTTGGACCCTGATACTCAGAGACTTTGATGCTAGTCATGGGTGCGATCACAAAGCAACTTCCTTTTCGTAACAAGTTATATTATTTTAAATTCTTTTTTATTTTGCAACTGGAGCACTGATTTTTTAAAAA